GGCGGAAGTAGAGCTGCAGCCCGTCCACGGGGTGCACGATGGGCACCGTCTGCATCTCCGGGAAGCAGGGCGTGGCCAGCTCCCAGCGCGCCGTGCTGACCAGCTCGACGGCCAGCAGCTTGAGGATGGCCTGCGCCAGCTCCTTGCCGATGCAGCTCCGCACGCCGCCGCCGAAGGGGATGTAGTGGAAGCGCCCCGCCGCCGGGCCCTCGTCCTGCCGGGCCGAGGCGAAGCGGTCCGGGTCGAAGGCGTCGGGCGGGCTCTGGTACACGGCCGCCGTCTCGTGCGTGTCCCGGATGCTGTACATCACGCTCCAGCCCTTGGGGATCTGGTAGCCCTGCAGGGGAGGCAAGAGCGGCCTCAGCCGTCGGGCACGTGGCGCAGGGCGCCCGCCCCACGCCGACCGGGCGGGCCCACTGCCCTGCCCCAGGGCTCAGGTCCCGGCGGCTCCAGCCCCCTTGCCTGGCTCGGGTTTAATTTTAAACATGGCCCTCCCTCGGGGCCAACCGGACCACCCTCCAGAGGTCGCTTCAGCAGCCCCTTAGAGAGCAGAGTTCAAGAGCAATCACTTCCAGCTACTCCCCCTGCCCCTCACCTGGCAGATTGCCCGGAGTCCTAGTGATCTGGGCAGGACTCCTGCCACGCCAGCCAGGGCTATATAGCCTGCAGCCCCTACCTACCCACGTACTTCTGACACAGGGAGGCATGGGCATTTACAGCAGTTTAACCTAGTGTTATTCCAGGGTAAACATGGAGTTCACATGCCCTGGCCAGCCCACACTAGTGTCAGTCAACAGGATAAAGGTGCTCCTTGGAAAGCCAGGAGTAAACTCCCTGGGACTGTTCAGACAGGGATAATCCTGTCTTCAGTAGGGGACTGAAGTACATGGCCTCCTGCAATCCCTTCCAATCCTGTGTCTACATGTCATGTGCCCATGGCTCTGAACACTTCATCCCTGAGTAGCCCTTGTTCAGTGCAATCAGGCTGGTATCAGCTCCCCTGCCATCTGGCGGAGCCAAGCTGCAATATCACCTACTGCAATCACTTACCTCAGGAGAGGCCGTCTGTCGGCTCAGTGCACCAGGGTAACTTACATTGGTATAAATGTCAACTGTTCATTACAGTATTAGGCTACATGCCTAAGAATATTTACTTAGGAGATGCTTAGTGCCAGCCCCCCAGTCCTGCTGTGTGATGTTACCCTTATATAGTTGCTGCAGTTTCTTAAATTTGAGCTGAAATGTTAATTGTTACATTACCCTGGTGCCAACTTAGTGTGAAAAACAAGGTCACCTGATAATCAGAAAGAGGCCCAGTATACATCTGGGCCCCACACAAGCAAATGGCTTCAGAAAAAAATCATGTCAAGATCAAATTGGTGACCTCAGTTTCCTGTGCTTATGAGGGCCCATTTCTTGGGGATAACATTCCCCTTTATCTTTACATACATTGCAAATTCTGATATAGCACTGATTTCCTGTGCATTGGTTGCCTGATCTTTCATTGTAGCAGGAGTTTCACACTAAAAGCAAGCTTGCCATATAGAACAGGGCTGTCCACCTGGTGGCCCACAAGCCACATGCATCTCTCCCATAAGCACCTTGGATTTCAGGGACCTGCCCCTGCAGCATGTGACTGGCACTTGTCAGCACCATACGCAGCCCCCAGCCACAGGGAAGTTAGACAGCCCTGCTATGGATAGGGAAATGTCTGAATAGTCACCACTTCCTCAGCTAGTAAACCAGATTTTTTAAACATCCAAAGGTCACTGGAGAAGAAAAACAATTTGGTGGAACAGCTGCACAACTGCACATACAGAGCCAAAGACATGAATAGCCATTTGAATCAAAGACAAATGTAGGTCCTCAGATGCTTGCAAGCATACTAATCACTTACATCCAGCTCAAAGGTCTGTAGTGCAGTTCTGTAGCCTCCAGAGACAGGGGGTAGCAATCGGAGAACCTCCTTAATCACACAGTCCAAGTAGCGCAGGCGGCTCAATTTCTCCAAGTTCATATAAGGCTGACAATCACACTCAGGCCCTGGGATCACAGGCCCTGTGGGCAGCTGGAGCCTGTTGGGCAGCTGGCCACCTTTCCCTGGCTGGTGGTCTGCATAAGGGGAGTCTGTATTCAAACACATTGCTTTTTGTGTCATTCTGGTGAGGCTGGACTCCTCAAGAAGCAGGGGCTGCAGAGAGGAGCCATCCTCCATCTCCTTTGCCTTCAGGTCTGGCTGCAGGTTACCATTTTTCTGGGTTCCTTCTGTTGTGGAGAGGCGATGCTGCTGACAGTCATTAGGCTTCCTTTCTTTCTCATGGATTATCAGTGTTGTTTGGCAAGGTTCAAGGTAGGGATTATTATTTTGGGAGATTACAGGTGAATAGCAATGACACTGCCTAGACAACTCACAGTCCACCAATTCCTGTCTTATTTTTTCTATTGCTGAGGGGTGCTTGAGTAGCAGAAGGATCAGGGAAGTGCTGGCACTAGCAGTGGTGAAGAAAGCAGCAAATATCAGCTCAATTGCTGACTCCTGGAAGATAATCAAATACCAGTTTTAAATGTATTTGTATTTTAATTTTTGAATCGTTCTTACACATTTTCCTAGCTCTGATTTCACTTCCAATATTGCAGTACTAGAACCTAAAAACTCTGTGGCTTTACTTGTATCACTTTATGTTGATCACATATTATACTGCAAATCATGTGTACTGTACTCTGATAATTTCATTGTTTCCTACGAATCTTATGCTACCATTTAACAGAGAAAAATACGGTTAAAGAAAGTTGTAAGCAAAATTTATACTAAACATTAATTTTCTGCCTTTAGTTGTGTGTCTGGGACATCCAGCTGCCAATCCCTCCAAATGGTACAATCAGATTGGGTCCAGGAGTCAAAATATCCACAGACGTTATAGCTGATGTCACACTTTTTCCAAACATTGAAGTCATGCCCTACTAAGAACCTCAGTTCCAGTACTACTGCAATCTAGCTATATCTAAGATGAGGTTAGGTTCCTAGCTTCCCTTTTTTCAAGCCCATATATAAAAGGCAGAGAAAGAAAATGTCTAGGTGTAGGATGTGAACTAATAATATTATGCTGCCTTTTTTAACTATGCCCAAAAGATTAGGCATCAAGTACATTGTCCCTGTATAACTATGTTTTTGCTGAGTCTTCCTCTTGTGTTCACAATAAAAGCCTTGCTTCTGCAGCATATTCACAGAGGACACATCAACATATCCCCCAGCTGTTGTTCCATATTTGTAAAGCCAGTTGTGCTTCCATCTTAATACTGCTGAGTACAAATACATAGATCTATCCAAAAGTGATTGGATCGTCAGCTGAGGTAAAGGCAAAGAGAGGGTTTAGATGAGATAAGGTGAAACAAGGAATGTCATGGTATGACTCCAGACCTTACCTTTCACCATCAGGCTAAAGCACTACAGTGGGAACAAGGGGATCCAAAGCAGTGCTGGCTATATCTTTAGCCCATTGGGAGTCAATAGCAAAATTACTATTGATTCCTTCAAAGCTCAGATTTAATCTACCTGGAGTTTTTCAAGACCTGGCACTTCTTTCATATGTGCCCAACTGCAACAGAGACCAGAGTCCTGGAACCAGAGAGGGAATTGCTTGGGAAAGTGTGAGACTGCATGAGGGAGGGGATGAAGGTGAGGCTAACTGGGACAGACAGGCCAGAATTAACACTGTGTACCTTGTGCTAGCCACCAGTGGGCTCAGCAGCAGGTAAAAGCCAACAGATCTCAGGGAGGAATGGGAAGAGCTGGTTCCTTTTTACACCAATACCTATGTGGTCCTGGAAAACCTTACGCTGGAAAAAGACTCTATTTCATAAGAGGAAGAGGTAAGACCACAAGCACAAGGAGAGTCAGCCTGAAGCCTGAAAGTACCTTGGAGCCAATGCAGGGACAACATGGGCCATATAATAATAATAATAATAATAACAACAACAACTTTTTGTGACTACCAGTCCTACATGTAGTTGATTGGCTAAAGCTAGAGGATGATTTGTAATGCTTCATTTTCCTTGTTTGGGTGGGTTCCAGTTTTGTCATTGTGCTAGTTCTTTGGAGAACCTTGAGGTTAAACATAAATTCAGGAATTACTGAGGTCTGTCCCCTTAATCTGTACTTAGAGCTCGCATAGGTATAAGCAGGAATTTTGCATTCTCAAGAAGAGAATGGGCCCCATAAAAAGAGATCCTTTATTTCCACAACTTGTAGTTGCACAAATACCTGTGCTTTCAGGGTAAAAAGGATTACATGGAAATCTTTGCATAGTGAAACTGTAACCCTGTCATTACTGAAGCAAACTCTGATGTTGTTGCATTAGTGGTAACTCTTTCATAGCCAATAAAGTGTGTTTTGGAGGCCTAACCTGGTATCTCTCCAGTCCAGTTCATTGTGGAAACTCCTAGATTGTCCTGCTTTTCTTCAAATTCTAATATTACACTTATTACTTTGGGTTTGATAGATGCCTAATCTCTGCCACAGTGCTCCGGCAACACAGTTCTGTTCCTACTGCATTCTCTGGCAGCCCTAAATCTGTACTACTACAATAATGGTATGCCTTCTCCTTCTGTGGCTTTAACTTTGCAAAGTAGTGGTTTTTAGTAAAATTGGCAGACTTAAATTATTGGATTTTTGCAATTCTTGTCATTTTATAGTTCATGTTGCATTTCTTCCATGAGTACAAGTCACAGCATCTTGAGGAAGCTGGAAAGTAATTTAAAACATGTTTACATGCAAAGTAAATCATGAAACTAGCTTGTTTTTCTAAAGCACCTAAGAAGTGTGACATGGTCAGGTCATTCAATTAGAAGAGCATTCTGCTGGCTTCTATTTTAGTAAAATAAGTTATTACATTTAAAAATATATGCTAGTTATTCTACAGTTCCTGGTGAGTTCTTTTTAAATATACCTGACATAGGAAGTTTCTAACCATACTGTATAGTATAGGCATATGCATACCTATAACTACCACATGCTCAAAGCCAAGTGCCCTCATATCATTGCTGTTTCAGTTCAGGTGAGACAAGCCACTTTTCATTACCTCTGCTTACTTGCTGGTATCCCCACAATTGCTCATATGATTATTGCTCTATAATATGCATTGGAGATGCACATTAAACAGGAGGCAATGCATTCCTTTACAAATTTAATCCATCAGATATTACAGTGCAATTTGTCATGTTCTGATCACTGTCACATACATCTATTCTAATTACATATAGCTGTTCCTATAGAATATCATCTTCCAAATTAATTTACAAGTTCACAATTATATTTACACTTTGAGATACTGTAGATTTTAATAGCTAAAATCCTATAAAAATCAATTTCTATTCAGTCACAAATGAACAAGGCTGTTTCTAAACTTATAAGAGTGCAGATTTATTTGCATTATACTTATACTAGGCATATCTACATGTTCATTAATGCACTTTAGTTACTGCACATTAAGTTTACTGCTTGAATAACCAAGTAGTAAATCAATGCACTGTAACTGTAGTGCCGGCATACGGGTTTAGTAATGCTTCCTGAGTAGTAGCCTAATACTGTTCCACAGTAGTGTATTAGCACTGTGTTTGCCCAGCACGCTACTGTGCAGTGTTATTAGGCTATTGCACAGTTAGCATCTCATATAGACATGCCCGCTGACACCAGAATATTACAATAGTAGTTTTCTTTCTTAGTTCTATGGCAAAAATCTCACTGCTCTTGATTGGGAATTCTGTCTGACCCAAAACTACAGAGTTTGGCCTTCAGCCACGGTGATACATCATACTTACTAGTCCATCATACACATCCATGTGGGGCAGCAATAGAATGCTGCCCCACACGGATGTGCATAATGGACTAGTAAACTTGATGCATCACCTAGTAGATGACCAAAGTGTAGGAGCAATTCTGTTACTCCGAGTGCATAAGTATCCCTATTACAGAACTAGGGAGACATCTCGGTATCTCTGGAAAGCAATCCTATTCCTGTATAGAGACATTCACTAAGGAGGTAACAGAATCGCTCCTACACAGTAACTGGGTAACTTTGTGAACTCTTTGGTCAGTGGGGGCCAACTGGTTTTGTTAGGCATGACACAAATTAGTCCTGCACTGTCCCCGAGTGCCTCTTGAATTCCCTTCCCTGCCCAGTCTGCTGCTCTGCTTTCTGCTCTAGGCGCCTTGGTTGATCTGATGTTCGGCTCCCTGCCCTATCCATCACTGTGCAACCTGTTCCCTCCCCAGGCTGATATGTGCCACACAGAGAATACCTATGCCATGTTGGCCAGCCCTTCACAAGGCAAAACAGATTTCTGCCCATGATGTGCAATATAGTTAATGACTTGGTGGTCAGGAATGACTCAACATCCAACTTTGTCTCATGGATTATATTAAAATATTGGTTCAAAGATGTCTGGGCTTACAGCTCTATGGACCACAGCAATACTAATACAGCTCCTGTTATAATAGGTGTTTGGAGTGGATAAGCAATGTATAACTGGGCTTAGGATGTCCAGAAACATTCTGACATGTACTGAGAACACTCTAATGTGCAGAGTGTTTATCCCAACAGCATAAATCTAGCTGTATTCCATCACAGAAGTATATAAAATAGTTATGTGGATGCCTAGAGATAAAAGCCAAGGGAACTGGGTAAAAGGGCAAAAGAGACATGCATTTACTTTAAACATATTCCTTCTGTTCAAATGCGAAGCAATATCACCACAACAAGGCAGTCTGTAGGTTTGGCAGCACCCTCCTCCTAAGATTCCTGTTTTACAGACAGCTTGGAAGCTTGCAGGACGTTACAAATTTTGCCCTGCCTAGTATCTTTGCTATTGGTAGGGTTTCAGACCCCACTCTCACTTCTAAAATAGCTTTTCTAACTCTATTTTACCCAGGTTGACTAGCTATATTTCATGCATTTGGGCATTTAGGAGAGACAGGTAGCTCAAAATTAACTTAATTCTCATTTGCAGTAGGTGCCCCAGAGAGCAGGAGCCAACCCCTCCTGGACAAACCACTTGAAAAGCAAGCATGTCAGAAGTATAACAAAAGGAGAGTTTTTACCTTCAGCTCCTGCATGGTGAATTCTTTGCCATGCTCCTTGGCACTGTTTATTATGATATCCAAAGCATCACTGTGACCTTCTGAATCATTCCTTTGAAGTTTTTCCTGTATAGCCTTCTCCATGTAGTCATGTAACATGTCCCGAGCTTTGATCCCCTGAGGAGTCAGACATGATTATTCAGTCTTCAGCACTGACCCAGAGAAGCAGGAACCCCCCTGCCTCCTCAGAAAAAAATGGTACTCAAACTCCACAAAACAAGTCACTCTAATTTCTAATACAGTAACATCAATAACTCCAACACAGAGTCCTTTTGTTGCCTAGAATTTCTTTTAGCCTCAGTCCCTTCCAACAAATAGGTAACTTGGGAAGAACAAGTTCACTTGTCTTTACTGTCACAAATTCATTGGTTTTCCTATTTAAAACCCCTGTACAGAGAAGTGAGGGCCAGTGGTATAAACATCACCATCACAGGAGCTTCTTGCTGGCTGTAAGGACTGACCCCAACATTCTTCTAGGGCTACAGAAAGCTCTTTGGTGCCTGGATCAGAAAGGATGCTGGGATTCAGGAACTCTGACCAGCCTTTCAGCAGTGACAATGTTTTACTATTCCAAATATGTATTAGCTAAAAACAGATTACTCACACCCAGCTGGGTACATTTGAGTGCATCTGCCAGAAGGTTTAATATCTATTAAAGTAAAACTCCATGCAACCTAACATCTAAATCTGGGTGAGTTAGAAGTGAAGTTGTCACTGTGTGAAATTCATAATGCGAGATGAATGGATTGTAAAAAGAAACTGCCTCAAAGTCAGGAGGGTAAGAAAGCTGGAGTGAAAAGAATGCAGGAAGGAAGTGGAAGCTGGTGACAGGCAAAATAAGACAAGTGACCAAGACTGTTAGGTAGCAGAGGTGCAAAGAGGAAGTGGGACTGGAAGTTGAGATGGGGACAACTAAGATTGCTTAAGCAAGAAAATGGATACAATGGGTCTGACGCCTGGGTGGCATACAGAGGTGAGGGTTAATTGATGTTAAGGCCAGAAGGGACAAATCTGTTCTCCGGAGACTGGGAACCAGTGGATGGGAGAGACTGCAAGTGGATGAGCTTCTGGAGGGGAAAACTGAGACTGGGAATTTAAACCAGGGGCACAGAATAGGAACTGAGACTAGCTGGGCAAACAGATTAAGACTAAGAGTTGGGGGAAAGAGGAGACTGGAAGGAGGTCCACAGAGGGAGACTGGGATTGGGACCCAGTAGGGAGAGAGAATGGTAGGAGGTGAAGGATTCAAGAACTAGAGGAAGAGACAGACTGGACAAGAAGCTTGGAGCTGAGACTAGCTAGGCAAGGAGACTGAGACTGGGAGCTGGGGAGGAACGGGAGAGCCGCGCTGGAGGAACGGAGCACACAGGTAACAAATTTGGTAAACAGGTAACAAAGCTGTACCTACCAGAGCACACTTCCCTATGAGATCACTAAGCCTCACCATTTTCTGCCGTCCACAGACATATGTAGAATCCATTGGCAGAGTCACCTTGCCATCTAGCGCTGAGCCACACAAGGATGACAACCTACGGCTGCTACTGATTATTTCCTTAGATCTAAACATTCCAGCCATGATGTGGGTGTCAGTATGAGGCCATCTGATGGAATTTCTTTTTAAGGGACCGTTTTTGAAAAATTAAGGAATTTATGCACAAAAAAAGTGTGTAACAGAGACAAGTTCCCTTTTCTGACCTCCATGCTCCTCCCATGCCCTGCTCCAACTAGTCAAAAAAAGGAGAGAATGCAAAAGAGCATACAATTAAGATGAAGGGGGCCAGCTGAACAAAGTGACATCTGCACCAGTTTACAGGTGTGGTGGAGTAGAGCGCATGCCTGTGATGTGGAAAGGTGAGGAACTGGCAGGAGCCTGGAGAAGCCCGTAGCTCGTAGAAAGGAACCTAATGAAAGGAATCCTGCTGAAAATCCTAGCACCAAGAAAGACAGCTAAAGTTTGCTCCAGGAAAAGCTCTGCAACTGTTTTGGCATTCAAACTTCATATAATAAGGAATTAAAGCCAACCCTGCCAGACTGGGGACAAAAAAAAGAAAAAGAAAAGAAAAGGAGACCTGTGGGGAGTAACTAAGACAGGCTATGAGGAACAAAACTGGGGCCAGGGCAAAACCTATCTGCTACTCATACCAGTGAAACCTGCACACAGCCTGACTCAAGACCCAAAAAGAGGATGTTTTCTGAAGTAAGGCTTCAAACAGAGGCCCACTGGGGTGGCAGGTAAAGAAGATACCCTGTGTGTTAACCTGGCAGTAGCCAACCATTTAATCTTGCAAGAGAGGAAGGGTTGGTTTGGGGGCGGGCAGGGAGCGCAGAGACCCTCACAGGACAGGACAGGACAGGACAGGACAGTGCTGCTGGCCAGGCTTTCCCGGGCTCTGCTCTGTTCTCCCTGCTGCCTCGGACTCGTGGGAGAGAGAGCAGGACAGAGCTAGGCAGACACCCCTGGGCCATCCCAGCTTCCAGCCTGCTCCTGGGCCGGGCCGGGCACCGTACCTTGCGCAGCCCGCTGAAGGGGATGTTGAGGGGCAGGGAGAACAGGTTGTCCACCAGCTGCTCGAAGGTTTGGGCCAGGTCCTTCAGCTGCCCCTCCTCCAGATTCAGTCCCAGCAGGATCCGAGCTGCAATGCGGAAAGTCAGGCTTTTGGCGGAGGCGTACACCGCGATGGAGCCGGGCTCGCGGCACCAGCTCCGCAGCTCGCAACTCACGGCCTGCTGGATCCGCGGCAGGTAGCTCTCCAGGGCGGCGCGGCTGAACACCCGGGCCAGGATCTGCGGGAGGGCGGACAGTGGGCGGCGGGCGCGGGGGCCGGAGGCTGCCGGGCAGCCGCGCTTTGGCCGCCGCTGGCCCGG